GGATAATAGTACCAAGTAAAAGCGAGTAGAATTTCCCGTTAATTGTTGTCCCTAAGAAGTTAGACGCAACCGGAAAAAGGAAGTGGCGCATTTGCATAGACTTTCGAAAATGAAATTACGTCACCATAGGGGATAGTTTCCTCTCCCCAATATACAAGAAACTGTGCCGGAGCTGTTACAAGATGTGTCACTTATCGTGCGTCAACAAATGTGGATGCAACAGGATGGAGCGCCAGCACACTTTACTCTCGACGTGCGGGAATTTCTGATTCGCACGTATCCCGGGCGTTGGATAGGGAGAGGAGGGCCGGTTGAACGGCCAGCCCGCTCCCCAGACTTGACACCTCTCGAATACTACTTTTGGGGGCATGTCAAGAGCCTCGTTTACAAGACACCGGTGGACGACCCAGAACTTTTGCCCAGAATACTTTCTGCATCTGACGTGGTCCGTGTGACTCAAGAGTGCGCCAGAGTTTCGTTCGCCGATGCAATGCCTATATTGAATGTGGAGGACGCCACTTTAAACACTTCTTGTAAATTTGGTTTGTAAGATTGCTAATGTAATCCTTGTACAGTAATAAAAAAAAATTAAGCTAGTAGGAGAATAGCAAAGTACGATTATTTCAGCGATATGTTATCAGACTTCCCTACCTTCAATGGCCTTGACTGACTCAGGATAACTTCGGAGGACATAGATTCCTATTCGAAAGTTGTTCTGATTCCCTCTATACGCTCCTTCAGTTTTGCCCTAACCTTTTGAACCAGCCTGTATATTGGAAGCAAATTTTTTCAATGATTTTCAAATTGTTGATTTCAAAGAAAAATGTTTCACGACGAAGCAGGATGGAAGGAGATACAGACATCATTTCTTCTACGAGGCAGTAGGGGGAGGAGACGGATGCAGGCCGATAGCGAGCCAACACCTAGCAGGATACGAACCTCAAATCATTAATGCAATAAAACCAAGACGGAGAGAGCCTTACCCTCACAGTGATAAAACCAGGGCACGCAAACATCGGTCGGAGGGTCGGGTAGCCACTTAAGATGGCTATGTTAGTACAGGCAGATGTGTTGCAAGTTACATCGGGGAGGCAAGTACCGCTTTATTCGTCGGTGTACATGGCCGTGAGTCAGATATGAGTTACGAGGGATCAGATATCCCTAGTTTACTTAATTTGCGTCGCATTAATAAGAGTCCAGTGAATGGATGCCTTGGAGATGAAAAGCGCATTGCTCGACAAAGTAGTCAGGAGAGCAACTCCAAAAATCATAAACTGAGATACCGTCAGGAAGTCGAACCAGGGGATACTAGAGCCGTTCCTATTAGAGACCTGGGCACCAAAGTAGACGAGGATGTAAATTTAAATAAGATACAAATGGAAGAACTATTTAAACTGCTCTTAATATACGAGGATTCCTTCACGACGAGACTAGAAAAATGCAAGAATTCTTCTTATAGATTTGACGTGAATTGTCCGGACCAACTTGTTGGTTACAGCAGGCCAACACCCTCATCCGTGAGGAACGCGGTTCGAGTCCAGACTGAACAGAGGAAAAGGGACGGAATTCTCGAGATTTCTACGTCTACGCATCTCAACCCATTTGATTAATTGTGATGCGAGAAGAGAAACTGCCAAGCATTTGCCTAGAAGCGAGAAAGGTTAACAAATTCATGACCGCTGATCGGGCAAGAGTACAGTAGATAAATGGATTATTGCAACAGTTTCACGGGGCACGGTTTATTAGCAGTATCGATTTATCACCGGCTTTCTTGTAAGTTGAATTAGCACCAGAATCACAAAAATACACAGCAATTCTGCAAACCCGAGATAGAGTTTCTAGGGTACATGATCAGCAATGGCGGCGTCTTCCCAGACCCTTGGCGCATAGCAGCCATATTGAACTACCCAGCACCGAAGAACCAGAGGCAATTAAGAAGTTTTAGGCGTATGCAACTATCAACATGGATTTTTATTAACCACGCCAGTTTAGTAGCGCCTGTTACGGCTACTTAAGAAGGGGAATAAGTGGAAGTGGACTCCGCATGGTCAGAATGCATTTAGGACCCTTAGATTGAAGTTTGCAGACAGTATTCATCTAGTGTACCCAGACGTATCGCTGTCATATTCGATACACACCGATGCGAGCAATAAAACTATTGGGGCCGTGTTAAGGCAGACCGGGCGAGACAATGAAACGCTCACTGCATCCACCGCTCAGCGGGTGCTGTCTCCTGTCGAGAGCCGTTATTCTGTTGCGGAAAGAATTATTGGCTATTGTTTATGCACTAGAAAAATTTCGGATATAAATCTATGGACATTCAGTTACTCTGAATACAGACAATGCATTATAGTTTCTGCATAAAGTAAATCCGGGAGAGATGCCGCGGCGGGAGAGACGCCGCATTTTTTAATTCGGTGGGTTCCGTTAATCCTATTCCGATGTCAGTACATGTCCTTGTTCAGTGAGCCAAGAGAAATGTTGTGAGTGGACGCATTGAAACTCAGTGCTGTTTTGCAAGAGTTATAACTGATTTTATGCGGTGAGTTTGTTAATTTTATGCTCAAAGTTATTTCTATTGTTCATGAGATGTGTCTTTATTAGTTCCAGTCGAAGTAACTATGAAATCACGATACATTAGAGGTTTCCAACGTTGTTGGCCATGACTTCACACGATTTGGCCGCCATGTTGATCATTTGGTAAGGCAAGTGGGAGTGCGCGGCATCCCTCCCTGAAGATAAGGAGACAGACCGCAAGAAATTAAGGGAGAGATGTCGCACTTAAAAAAATACATCTGATTTAAAATATCATACATATACATTAAAGAGTACTCAGAAATGTCTGTTCTATTGCATTACCTTATTGAGGAAGATTAGTCCAGTGCTGAAAATACCGAGAAAAAACTCAACTGCAAGGAGGCAACTGGCTTCTGTCCTCACTGAATCAGCCAACATAGAGGAAAGGCGAAGGAGTAAAGAGGAAATGAAGTCAAAGAGAAGAAGAAAACGGCGAAGGTGAACAGTCCCAGCACTTCAGGTCTACAAGGTTGGAAAACTTAAAAAAAAATTAAAAAATCAAGACCCCTGAAAATTGTGACACCAACAAGTGCTTTGAGTGCTGGGAAAACTACTTTCGAACAACAAATGAAGACTGGTTCGAGAGTGAGAGTTGCAGGAACTGCCTGCACGAGTTCTGCTCTCCGTACAAAGCCAAATGCATCGACTGCAGCAGAAAGCTTTTCCGAGAGGAAAATAGCAAGAATCAGAAGTGAATCTAGCAAATTTCATTCACTAACGCTAAGACTCTAAATTCACCGGTTTACAATTAGACTCCAAGCAACCTCTGGAACACTTTTCTTTCAATTTACTTACTTAATAATTGAAAATTCATTTAAATATTCATTACCTTTTCAATTTTTATTGGTATGCACATATTTTTTTCCATTTTAATGTTCACATTAATTAATTTCTTTGAATATGGTTAATCAGTTTTCATTTACATGTTTCTTTTTCAATTCACAGGATATTTTCAAAGAGCGGCATCTCTCCCGGCATGTCCGGGAGAGACGCCGCAAAGACAACTTTTTTTATCGCCCTGTATCTCTGAGAATTAATTTGCTTTAGATATTTTGTTTACGGCTTAGTATAATAGAGATTTTAAATATATCTCTGAATTTTCAGCCGTTTTGACCATTTTCGGATTGAGTTAAAACATGTTGCAAAAAGTGAGGCATCTCTCCCGGATTTACCCTAAATGCGCGTTACCATCTAGCAGGGCGCTAGATGGGCAATGCACATACAGGAATATGACTTGCGCATAATGCACATTAGCGGTTCAAGCAATTTTCTTGCGGACACGATAAACCGGAATCCGGCTGGCTTGAGTGGAAGCGATATAAAAGGATTGTCGCGATCAAGACATTGATGTCAGGTTCTCTCGAATAAGACACCCGCAAGCTAACGTTGGATGAAGGAGATCGGTAAGTTTTGCCGAATATACTGCCACCAGCAACACAAGAAATGGCCGAAGCTATTACCTAGGATTGAACAGTGGCCCAACGGCACAATGTCTGATTCAACCGGCTATTCTCCCGCAGAACTGATGTTTGATGCGCCACGACCAGATCGTTTCACGAAATTCCTATCAAAGTCAGCAGACTAGGTGGCGCCTACTGAAAGGTCGCCCAATTTAGCACCCCGCATTCCATGGGACCTTACTCAAAATGTGACCAAGCCGGGCAGCCAGAGATCGGCAAGGGGCGGTTACAAGAGCTATCAGACTGTATAAAAACTTTGAAGCATGGTAATAATACAGCTAAACAGCTGAGCTGGAGCAAGCTGAAATGATAACACACATGGGAAACGAAGAGCTCTGGGATTATAAAAAAGTTGAATTGTAATATTATCATGCGAAACAGAGGCAGCAGCAGCAAGATGATATTTGCAAAATATGGGAAGCCGAATTAAAATATACCAGATTCTATCACAATCGTAGAAGGTATGTACTGACAGGCCGTAGAGAGGGAGAGAAAAAAACAATTCTCGCAAAAATTTCAGTTTAATGTTTGCCTTAAAATTTCTTTGATTAGGCCAATATTCAAAAGATATAATACAAAATTATTATAACCATAATTATGTAATATCTGTAATACGGTTAAATAGGGTTAAGTTATGTTTTTGCCACCCCGTAGGGCTATTCATTCCCTTACTTGAAATTATGTGCTCCAATCATTAGAAGCTACGAAAACTATCACACGAACTACTACGGCTTCTACTGATTGTTTAATGGACTACGGAACAAACACTGACAAATTCTCTTTCAGTCAAGAACTTCAGACGCTGCATAACAATTCATACAGAATCCTAATCCGTATGAAACAATTGTTTCTGACATGAGAACCGTTCGTTGAACAGACTTCAATAAGTAACATAAATGCCATTTTACAGGTTTCTGGAAGGTCCATTTAGTAATGAAAAGAAGAGGCAGCCATGAAGTCTCTGGAGGAGGACGGCTTCATGAAAGATAAGAAGACATACGAGCACCTGCAAACCTTGGGATAAGGGATACAACACAATTCATACGGAATCCTAATCTGTATGAAAGATTGCTTCTGACATGAGAACCGTTTGTTGATCAGACATCGATTAGTAACATAAATTACGTGTTACAGGTTTCGGGAAGGTTCGCTTAGTTAAGAAGAGTAGAGGCTTCGATCAGGGACGACTCTACGCGATGAAGACCCTGAAGATGGAGATCATCAGTTATATGAAGTAGAAAAGCAAATTAGTGGATGTGTATCTCACTGCCACAGTAAGATGGAAAAACAAAAAGCATGTCTCATCTTTCATGACCACAGTGCAAGGAATTTATTTTGTTTCTTTCAGATGGGAATCGCGCATCTGACATAAAGTCGAATAACATCCTGCTCGATTCTGTCGGTCATATCGGCCTTGCAGACTTTGGGTCATGTAAGCAGTTCCAACCACATGATAGGAAGACGTGCCAGCACACAATGACGGAGTGCCGAGTGTCAGCAGAAGTAGGTGACAGCCCGTTCTTGGTGAAGTCACACTACACCTTCCAGACGGATTCCGATCTGCACCTGGTAATGGGTGAGTAGATGAAGAACTACCCTCATGTTCGGGACAGCCTCGTGACTGCGTGTGTGGGTCCCCAATAGCAACGAAGTGACGTGTGTAGCTATGTTCAGAAGAGAATGAGGAATCACAGCCGAATTAGGGAAGAATTCCTTGCTTCTTGTTAAACTATGTTACCCTTCAGTCTTATGCACAGTTTCACTTTCAATTACACTTTTGTCGGATTTAATATGCATTACCGAACTATTCGCTGACATCTAGCAAGAGTAAGGATCGTCAAAATAACGAGGTCTCGTCATTACTGCTGTTGTTAATGCGTTTACAGACTTTCTGGAAGGTGGAGACCTGTATGACCTTCTCAACCAGCGAGAGAAGTTTGCCGAGGAGGCCGTGAAGTTCTACACGGCGGAGATCGTCCTCGGCATCGAATACCTGCACAAGGTAGGCGCACGGACGCACTGCAGCCCTCGTCAATGAAGTGCTTAACAAATAGATGATTTGTTTGTTTCTACGTTCAGATGGACCGTTTCTACTTCGGGTTGGAAATGTCCGCGCTAGACTACAACAACTAGGTGAACGAACATTAGTCCAGAGACAGGACACAATTGACGAGTAGAGCATTTCGTTGACGAAAAACAAATGTAGTTATCTCTTAGCACAAAGTTAAATTTCCACCAGAAAGCAGGTAGGGTAAGTTGCATGTAATTCATCAGTTAAAGGAGGCACGAACCAGAGTGACACTGCGCAGCCTGTTGGAGTCGGCCATGATGTTACTCGAAAGGCCACTGTGCCACTAACAAAGTAAACAGAAACACGTGGGATTGACAGCTGAGGGAAGACATTATGCAGCAACAGTAGTTAGAACGGTCGAAAAAATCCACACTTTTTTTGTTTATATGTTACAGGAATGGTAATGATAATAACAGGGCGCACTATCACAGTCACTGACCTAAAGCACAATACGCTCTTCATCAAACAGAAAGACGTGATTTTGACCAATGACGAGTGGAAGATAGTGGTAAACATTGATTTGGCAATCTACGAGGAACTATTAACCAGGTTGAAAGACGACTTGCACCAGACGCATATAACCAGTACCAATTTTGCACCTATTCAGGAACTAAAACAAATAGAAAAGTTGCTAAATGAATTGGAAAATGAAATAAATTCGTTTAGAGGAATTTTGCCCCGTTTGGATAAGAGACGAGCATTACTGAATGTTGCAGGTTCATTTTCTAAAATATTATTTCGCACCGCAACGACAGCTGACTTAGAAAGTTTGCATAATACAGTACAAGAATTACATGAAAGAGAAGAAAATATGGCACACTCAGTAAACAATCAGCTGACTTATCTGAAAACTTTAGACGCTTCAGTACAATTTAACACTAAAGCCGTTGAAATATTGTCGGGAAAACTGAAAGCAGTCATGTTAGACTCGCAGAAGTGGAAGGATAAGACTGATGTTACTGTCCATTGGTTAAATTCCACTTTTCATAAACAAACCAGTGTGTATACATATATACGCCAGCTGAAATTTGAAATTTTACAATTACAAATGCAAATTCGTGAAATTTTGGATGGAGTGGAAAGTTCCTTTGATGGAAAATTATCTTTAAATCTGATCCCACCTGAGGTATTAATGAGAATTTTGAAAAATGTAACATTTTTTCTTCCAGACGGATACAGCTTGTTTGCAGGGTCACATAAGAATAATATGTACCTTTATTACGAATATTCAAAAGTAGCAGTTGTGGCTAGTCACCATAACTTGAGGCTAATTATTTCTGTTCCTTTAAAGACTTTAAAGTGAGAAGCTACAAGTTAGAAGCCAGCTACTGAAACAGGAGGACAGCATAGATACCTGTAATCAGAAGTACTGGGTGTATAAGAAATATATGCACCTAATGGACTGTATTAGAAAGAAATTACCTGTATGTAAATTCAGAAAATATGGTAAGAACACCAAAGTTTTGTAAAGAAGGAAAGAGCATCATAACAATGAACTGTAGAATTAAGAGTTTGTTGTAAATAACTAAAAAAAATGGAGTAAAATTGTAGAGAATTTAATTATGTCAAGGAAAGTGAGGACACTTTCCATTTTAAAAATGGGGAAATTGTAGTGAATTATTTTTAGTTAACATATTGTAAATTAGGAATGTAGAGATTTGAACTTACTTAGAATTAAGTATAGTAGACATTTGCATGTAGGAACGTGTTGATGTCATTTCCTGGCATAGAGTTAAGCAGCAAGGCTAGTTCACCTTACTCTCAGGGGATGAGAAAAAAAACATTAAACGGAAATGCAGACGTAGCCATTAGGCAGTCAGCAGAAGTATGGAAAAAACGCTAACGGAAAAGTTGACAAAGGAAGTTGAAGAGAGATCGCGGTCAGAAGGGCCGAAACTTCGAAGATAGCAGGAGGTCACGAAAGTAATTATGAGCAAGGTGCAGCTGTTCGGGCTACTTTTAATAGGTAAGCGCTGAGGCGATAAATACAAGTATAGTACGGGTGGATTAATAAATATTCAAAATTACGTAACCAGAGTGTACTAAGGATAAAATGAACTAGCCTGAATTAAAAAGGTAATGTTTTAAACCAAATGTGAAATTTATGTAGTACAGTGTTAGAAATAAATGTGATAGTCTAAGGGAACCAGCTGTAGCCTCATGGACGAATTATCATATCAGCTGAGTAAGTTTAAGCTGACATACAGCGTCCTTGTGAACTTGCCGTGCTCCATTCCAAGCCACACTACCACATTAGGAAGACTAAACCCAAACAAATCTATCCAAAGTAGAACGTTACAGTACATAAACTTTTATCATACTTGAGAATATAATATAAATTACAAGTGTATGGTAAGCAGACTGATGGTAACTAAGTGAGATAGAGAAAGGACCAATTCAGATGGTAGTTAATTAGAAAGTCTGTGGTTCACACAGCTCACAAAGTATTGTCAGGGTAGTGAATTGAAGGATACCAAAGCGTTTATTACTAGTTGTTTTGTGTCTCAGAATGCTGCCAGTTACGTAAAATGTTGTTCCTACTGAGAGGCTAAATGTGCATGTTCCTTTTGTAACACACATATCTACATGGCTCCTGAGATGATCAACGGCAAAGGACATACCATGGTACATTTCTTCTACAGTGACAATCGGACAATAATGATTTCATTGTTTAAAGTAACTAAACCAACAACGTGATTAATCTCCACAATAAAAGCAAATGTTGAAGTGAAGTGCTCGCACATCTATTCTACAAGGCGTTTACTCCGCAACCAGCATTCAAATCGATACTATTAATATTAATGTCTGCATTTTATCCTACAGAACATCAATTGGGCTTATACATAAAGTTGTTTCAGTGCTATATCAGCAGCCTCATAGTTACAACAGTCAGAGTGAACCTGAATAACTGCACATTTCAAAAATTTAATTTCTGTCGTCGTCGTTGCCACCGTTCAGTAGTGAATTTGTTCAAACCACTTTTCATACACTACTTGTATGAAACTAAAATTTCTGAAAATTATGAAATATATGAAGATGTATAAAGAACATAAACTTTTCACTTTAACAGATTTCAAGGCCTTCAAAATAAAGGACATTTCAAAAGTTTCGAGGTTTTACCATATGGAATCCTAACCTAGAATGCACGGCATTACTAAGAGTCGTGTACCGAGAATGCACAGGATAGCTCTAAGCAAAGATCTGACTAAAGATGATCATGTAATTATAATGGGAGGACCAGGAAATAGCCCTGACAGGGACCTAAATTACAAGAATGAAAACGATATGGACAACATTGCCAGGAACAGCTTACGTACTAATGTTGGTTTTGTTGGCCTTCTTGAGCGCCATGACAAGCCTCATATTGCAAATGCGAGACTTGAGCGTGCGCTTTTGAATGCGGACAGATCGCACATTGGATTAACTGATGCGTCATCTGTGAATAGGTATGACCACACTAGACAAGGATTGCACCTGATTTCAAGGGGTAATAAGCTTGTGCAACTAACTGCCAACGAGATTAGGTGCAAACCAAATACTGGTAAGATTCCTGTAATCACTGGCGTAAGACCTAGGCCTTTTTAAGGTTAAAGCCCAAATGTATCAATAAATACCCGAAAGACATCCAAATCACTGTAGATATGACAGTTCTAAATTTAGATCAGTCAAAATAAAAAGTTCATGGTATATATAAGATTTGAGACTTCGCCCACACAACAGATCCGCGGTCCTAAGGCCCGATGCACACGAGCACACGTCATCGCTGCGAGCACGCCGAAAAACTCTCACCAGTACTAGATTGGAGTCGTGTGCGGAAGGGCGGTTGCACCAAATGGCGCATAAACGTGGGGCACGAATGGAGAAGCCGATGTCGTACCCTCAAGGTTAAAGTGAATCACCTGGAGTAATACATCGCCCGAGGCACGTGGGGGAGTAGGCAACCCGCAACGCAGAACTTCGAGGAGAATTCGCCACCGGAAAGCCTGGATCCAGATCGTGTACGATTGGAGGAGAACGAGGCTCGAACTGCGGACGTCGAGAAGCGTGGCGACGCCGCATCGACCATTTACTTGGACGTCCTCACAGACGGGACACCGAGGCTACGGCAAGGTTTGAGACCTGCTATATCTGAGTTCTGCTGCAAAAGGTTAGTAGCAAATTCCTTTAAAATGGCGAGCCGTTCCCTCCGAAGCAAAAGACAGGCTGATTGCGGCGAGATGAGTGAAAGTGAAAGTGTAGGCTTGCGGTGCGCCCAACCCTTTCTTTACACAAATTTGTCTGAGTATTTCGGAGAGAAGGACGAGACGACGCATTCTATTGAGAATATAGGCGCCCAAAAGGAATGCGGAACCCCCTCAGAAGTGACTGTAATTCCTAGTACAGCCAGTCCCAGTAGGAACATGGAACAAACGATCAGTCTGGGCCCACCGGCAGAATTATTGAGCATGATATGGCAGGCCATACAGAAAAACGAATAAAGTACGTTAGAAAGTGAAAGAAGGATAGAGGAACGTTTAAACAATCTGCGAGAAGACCTCATTAAAAATACAGAGCAGTTATCAAAACAGTTCAGGTCCGAAATAGATAGGCTGAGCCAGCAGGTTTTTACAAAGATGAGAGATGAAACCAGTAAGTTAAAAGAGTCTGTGTCTATCCTGCGGCAAGATACTCGGCAACAAATTGAGAGAGTGGACGAGAAATTAGTTGACGTAAGCAAGGGTATGAATGAAAGATTAACAAATGTAACAGAGAGCGTGAATGAGAATGTGAGTGAGAGGTTAACATCACATATGTCGGAGGTAGAAAGTAACACTAGGGACATGGTCGTTAGAGAACTTTCAAGTTTTAAAGAAAGAGTTACTGAGGAGAACCTAAATTTCATGCAAGGGAGAGTGGATATAGTTACTAGAAACAACGATGCGAAATTAGGTGAAATATCGTCCCGACTTGAGAAGCTTCAAGAAAGATTAGATACAGCTAGT